CAAGAATGTCAAGGAAGAACACAACAGCGTAAATAAAAAATACAACTACATTAATGAAGAACACAACAGTGTAAACAAAGAACACAACAACATTAATGAAGAACACAACAGTGTAAACAAAGAACACAACAACATTAATGAAGAACACAACAGTGGAAATAAGAACACAACAACATTAATGAAGAACACAACGGTGTAAATAAAGAACACAACAACATTAATGAAGAACACAACAGTGTAAACAAAGAACACAACAACATTAATGAAGAACACAACAGTGTAAACAAAGAACACAACAACATTAATGAAGAACACAACAGTGTAAACAAAGAACACTACAACATTAATGAAGAACACAACAGTGGAAATAAAGACAACAACAACATTAATGAAGAACACAACAGTGTAAATAAAGACAACAACAACATTAATGAAGAACACAACAGTGTAAACAAAGAACACTACAACATTAATGAAGAACACAACAGTGTAAACAAAGAACACAACAACATTAATGAAGAACACAACAGTGTAAACCAAGAACACAACAACATTAATGAAGAACACAACAGTGGAAATAAAGACAACAACAACATTAATGAAGAACACAACAGTGGAAATAAAGAACACAACAACATTAATAAAGAACACAACAGTGTAAATAAATAACACAACAACATTAATGAAGAACACAACAGTGTAAATAAAGAACACAACATTAATGAAGAACACAACAGTGTAAATAAAGAACACAACAACATTAATGAAGAACACAACAGTGTAAATAAAGAACACAACAACATTAATGAAGAACACAACAACGTTAGAATAAAACAACACAATTTTAAGAGAGAAAACAACAACCATAAAAGAGAAAACAACAACATTAAGAGAGAACACAAAAATATTGCTGTGTTCTTCCTGTGTGCCGTGGTATTTTGCCTCTCTGGCCCAATGTGTATTTATATGTCAGTTTCCTGTCCTTTGCAGAGGCAGGTTTTTCCACTGTTTGAGACTGAAATACACTGAAGTACATTTTATCTGATCTGCATGTGGTGATAAGTATTTTAAAATGAGAAATGTGACAAGAGGAAAATGAACGGACTATAAAAAACAAACAAGTTAAGTTTAGTTAAGTTTAGTTGCAAAGTTAAGTTTAGAAAAGCAGGGCAGGTCAGTGCTTCATTTCTGGATTCTGTTGCTTTTAATGCACGTAAAAATATTTAATGCAAAAATTTGTGTGTCGCAACACATCAGAAAGTCCAATTTGTGGTTCATGACACTCGCAACAATTCCTCAATCCAAATCAATAAATTTGGAAATCCACATCCAAATATAAGGGAACTGAATGGTCTTCTTCAAGTGACAGACCTCTTTTGCCTGACCAGCACCACTCTGCACGTTCTGTAGCTTAGACAGACAGTCATCACTTAATGTTAATAAAAGTAATAGGTAAGGTTTGGCTGCTGGCTGGTTTTTTTTCCTGTTTTACAGAACAGTGCATGTGTATACTCAGGGAGGAGCACCTGCCATGGCTACTTTCTCCAAGATTGAATACAGCTACTTACACCACTCACATCTACTCACATACAAACTCAGTTTGAGAACTCAACCTCTCTCAGCTCTTCCATGCCTCAGAATCTAAGACCAACTCCACACATCCATATTATCATTTACATTATCATTTACTTCTAACAACAGTGTTTGTGACTGATTGTTGCAAATAAATCTAGGTCTCTATCTGGCCCAGGCATGGCCACAACGTCAGATTGTTCAGGAATCTGTTTTTAAAAGTCTATATGCACAGCCTGAACAAATTACTAAACAATATTGTATCTTGACGATGCTCAAATCTGATCTGTTTTTACATCAACACTATAGCAATTTAATATAAAACCAACAATTTAAAAATATATATTATTTAAAATATGATCTTATATTTAATACAAATGCAAGCCTTCAGAGGAGGAAAGACTGAAAGCAGAGAGGTTCTGTTCTCATTCAGAGAACTTGTTGTTAGCTCTCCGCCGAACTGGTCAGTCTACTCTAATGAGGGCAGAATACAGTCCAATTACAGACAAAATAGAATACTGGCCTGTTAAAAAGAGTTAGTAGCCAGTAGTAGCAATATGATGGGGCCTAGAGGTCTCAGCCCACCCTCTATTATCATTGTCCCAACTGAATCAATGCTGAAATGCTCAAATTTAGTTCAAGTATTAAAGTTTTATGAATAAATAAACCAAAACCACAAATTAAATGGCCTCACAAAATATATATCAGATTTGAAATTCCTTTTCGATATCGATCAATCTAAAGCTCAGGTGAACCAGTAACTATAACTGTGAAATGTTTGCTAAGCCCTATTTCCTCCTGAGTTACCAGCACAATTCCAGACACCCAGCAGTTTTCAGCGCTGAATCTAAAAGCTTCTTAGAGACGTGTAAAAACATGGTGTTTTAAGCACTAAGGCAGACCATAGCCCATAACATTAAATAAATGCAGTAGCTACAAATTGTTACCCAAAAGGGAAAATTATGTGGTGTAAATGATAGAAATAACCAGCACATTACAGTTATAGTCATTATTGCTCCCATGTGCGAAGTAAGAGATACAAGTTGTTATTCTTTTTTTTATTATGAGCCCCCATGCTCTTAGTGCCAGTAACATTTTCTTATAAGGTGATTTAGGCTATCAAAATACCCTACATACAGTTTTATGTAGGGATCTACCTATAAAAATGCCTATACATACAGTAGCACATTTTGATAAGGCCAGAGTCTTTTTAATCAGTGTAAGCTAAGCAGTAGTAGAAAATTTTATGAGCATTTAGATTTAATTATAGGTCATTTTTTAAAAATGGGTGAATGTAGATTAGACTGAATTGCATGAGTCTCATAAGCCAAACGTCAAGTCTGTCCAACAGTAAGAGAGGTCAGGATCGCTCCTCTAATATGGGCTGTGCTGCTTTGTGTTATACCTCTCTGGCTGTATTTTAAAGCCTCAGTAAACACATTTTGATACACATTCACTCTTCGCTGCTCTCTCATGAGAACTGTATGAGCACACTCACAACCTAAAGTGCTGCTCCACTGGGGATTTAAAGCTGAGGAAAAACTGACCTCACAGGCAGTGATACTCATGAACTTGTCTGCTCTCTCTTACACTCACTTTCACAAGCCAATGTTCTCTCTCACCCACATTCTCTTAGGGAAAGTTTCCAAAGATGCTGGGACAGTGGAGATTAAAGAAATCAATACACGTTTAGTACAGAAAGCTTGCTGCCAAATTTCCAGTGGTGGGTAAATGTAATTCGTTACTGTACTTAAGTAGTTTTTTAGTGTATTTTTACTGAAGTATTTCCATTTTGGCCGACTTTTTACTTTCACCCGCTACATTTCAAAGTCAAATATCTTACTTTTTACTCCACTGCATTATGCAAAATCTGTTGTTCCTTTTGGTTAATGTGTGTATAAAAACGTAATGCCAAAATGAAAAAAACGTGAAGCAAGAACACCAACTGGGGTACAGCACGCACTTTGTTTTGAGCTTCTTTTGACCTGTTGGACATACCTAACCAGTCCAAGCACACGATTCAATGTCAGTGCAGCAGCGTAAAATTTAGTTTTTTTTCCAACATAAATGATGGAACTAACCTAACTTTGTGTAAATAGACCACAGTATAGAAATATGTACACATATGCAGTTGTGACTGCCGTGTGTCTTTTTTTCTGAATTTATACAAACACTATTTCATTTTATAGTAAATTTGTTTTTGCTAGTTTTGTGCAATATAGTAAAGGAAGTTTATGCTACAGATGCAATATAGTAAAGGAAAACTCATTTATGAACCTGTGATTAAAGCAAGTTTTTATTAAATTTAAACTTGTAACTAAAGTGCAAATAAATCTTAAACTGAAACTTTGCTTGTTTGCAAAAATTTGTTTAATAGCCACTTGGTTCTGCCTAATGGAAATTGTTTGCCTTCAGTGTTTCGTGCTTTTGATAATTTTAATAGACATGCAGCGTCAGACTAATTAATGACATTCTATTTAAATATTGGTGTTACAAGAGTGACACTGGAGTGTTTTCACCTAAAATGAGTTAATGAAGCAAGAGTCTTGTTACAAAAATGGTAATAGGACATTAGAGTCATAATTAATCTTTTAATACTTTTACTTTCAATACTTAAGTACATTTGAAGGCAAATACTTTTGTACTGTTACTCAAGTGGAGGTCTAAAGGGAGGACTTCTACCTTTACTGGAGTCATATTTTACCTTGGGTATTTCTATTTTAACTCAAGTACATGATTCGTGTACTTTGTCCACCACTGCAAATTTCTCGCAAACCATAAACTGGTCAGCAACTCCTTTTTGTATAAGTGGTTACAGAGTCAAAATGACTAAAGCTATGAAACTGTGTCATAATAGCTCTGAAACTGTGGTTTATCTAATTCTGCCTGTTACCTCAGTACTGCTCATGCGGATGGATGAAATGCCTGCAACATGTTCAAAATAGTTTTACAGGAGAATGTTTACCACTGTGTTACATCACCCTTCCTTTTAACAATACTTAATTTATGTATAAGGACTAAAGACACCACTTGATCAAGTTTTAAAATAATAAATTTACACAGTAATCACAGTTATACAATCATCAGCTGTGCAACCGTTCAAGGCCTTTGTTGTCGGCATTTAAGCTTAATGAAACACACATTTATAATGGGAGACGGTTCTGGACTGCAGAAAGGCCAGTCTCTTGTCAAATTTTGAAATAAGTGTGGACGTCCCTGAAAAATTAAAACAGAAAGCTATGATTTGTAAATATGCTTTGACCTAAATTTAAATTAAAACAGTATAAAGTCAGATGGGCAAGTTTGTGGAAATACCGTGGCCACTTCGATGTCACGAGGCCCACTTCCTGAAAGCAGTGTGGGCGCTGCTTGTGAGTGTAGATTTATCACAACCTCCACTCCTGCACACAGGCAGACAGATCCAGCTATTCAACAGCACAGGACTCAGACTGCTACAGAGATGCAAGGCTCTTCTAGACCCCTGGAGAATTTCCCCCTGCAGGGAGGTGCAGGAGATGGAACTGTGGTGATTCCCATACGCGAACATCCTAAAGATTACATAGTTTGGTCCTTGGCCACCATCTACTGTGGAAACCCACTCTGCCTGGGGCTGCTGGCCTTTTATTTCTCAATAAAGGTGAGTACAGCATAACAGAGTTGTAGAGATTCTCAGAGTGAACAATCAGCGTGTGGTTGTTATGAAAATGAAAAGCTAATTTATTTTCTTTAAACTGTTCAGAAGATTATGAGGTCATTTTTTTTTTTTTGAGAATTGTTCATTTCTTAACTTTTCTTAACTGTTTTTATTTTTCATTTTTTCTTATCATAATTTTATTATATGTATGTCATGGATATTTTAATAAACTTTTCTTTTAATACAAGTAATTTATTATACATAAGTATCTTTTACTGAGGAACCATTTAAAAAATATTCTGAAATAAAAGTATTAATTATGAATGTGACCACAGGCGTACTGCACATGAAATATAATATAATATAATATAATATAATATAATATACTTTTAAACTATAGACACATTTTAGATTGTTGTATATTAATACATCAAATGCATAATACAATATTCGGTAACACTTTACATTAAGGGATGCAAAATAATTGATCATTATCGGCTAATTAATAATTACATACTCATTATTTGTTATTAACTGCTTATTAAGAATTAGGTACAGATTAAGTACTTAGTAATTGAGTACATTGTTAATTTGTCCTTAGTTCACAGTTTATTTACTCATTAACTGTGTACTGCTGCTTTTTACACTGCTAGTGAACTGATAAGTGTGTTCAATCATATAAATAAGTAACATGAAAACTAGGAATTACTTATGTGTTAATCTCATTAATGATCCGTTAATTATTCTACAGATCCGCCGTTACATATTCCTCTTCTGTGCAGTAATGCATGGAACATTCATTGGGCTTTGCTGTACACTTCATGTGACCGCCACATATTCAGCTCAGACATATTCAGAGCTGTCTTTACATTTTCACCATTAATTACTCCTTACTTTATATCACTTAACCATTAATTACTATTTTATGTCTCCCTCCAAGTGAACTGATAGTCTTCATAATTGTTATAATTACAATTATACTACTTATATTACAAATGCATAATTTAGAGCAGCCTATACACACTCACTGTGAATCAGAGAAGAAACTAAAGTGGACATACAGGTCTAAAACACAGGCCCCTGATTAAAAGACAAATGTGGACAGTTGCCTTTAAAAACATAAGCATGAAATATGCACATACTGACAATATCTGTCATACTATTTTCTTATTATCTTAAATTAAAAAGTCTTTTTGGAGCAATAAAATGAAAACTCAATCTTGCATCTCTAAAAAATCTAAATCTGTTATTGGATGAGATGTGCAAGTATTAATGACTTGTTTTAGTTTAATAAAAAAAAATGAGCTCTTTATTGTATTAAATCATTGAGAATAAATGTTAAGTGATTATATATGTATATTTTTCTATTTATTAAAAAGACACAAAAAGAAGTAGAGAGAAATGTCAGCAACTAGTGAAGTCTTAATCATGAGTTTGTAGTGTAATAAATAGCAATTTGATCACTTTACTGGGAGTGACACAAAGTAGTAAATAATGAATAACAATAAATAAATTAATTAACAGGTAATTAATGGGAATAAAGGGGATTTTGCAAAACTAGGAGCCAGACGTCCAAAGCATTTAATGGCTCTAAAAGCTATATCCCATTAAGTTATTATACAAAATGGTTCTGAATGCGTTGCTCGATACCTGAAACATTGTTTTGTGGTAGTTTTGTTATAAAGTTTTGGCCTAAAACGCATTTTTAACATAAACTACTACTCCAGGATTAGTTCTGTGTCTCCTTTCAAAACAGCATTCTCAACTGAGATCAATGTGCGCAACCTAACGTGCTTTTGTAGTCACTAGCCTGTAGCTACAGCTGTTCAACACGACTAACCGCCGGTGTTTTATCCGATTCAGTTCCCCCCCAAATTCACATTCCCTTTGACAAATCAGATCCTCGGCCATGCGCATTCACTGAACAGAAAACAAAGCCAAGCAGCACTGGAAATACAGAAAGTAAAAAGGTTCAAAAATAGGTTTGTACAGCAGCTGTATTCACCCAATCGGTGACAAACAGTACAAGAAATATTTATGAGTTATGAGTATTATTTACTGTTTACTTTAATTGAAATTAATATTTTTCACATAATCTCAAATATGCCGTGTTGTCTTGGGTGGATTTAAACTGGGGATTGGGTGAAAACGAGCAGTCGTTTAATCTTTTTTTTTTAACCTTTTCGCTTTCCGTAGTTCCAATGTTGCTTGGGATTGTTTTTTTGTTCAGTATATGTGTGTGCCTGAGGACCTGATTCGTCAAAGGGAATGTACATTTGAAGGGGGGACTAAATCAGATATAACACCGGTAGCAGCTTTTATTTACAGTTTATTGGGAGAGAGAGAGAGTTTATTGGGACAAGAGAGAGAAAATAACCCGCCGAAGCAAAAGAACCCAGGGCAAATGGAAATTGACCGTGTCAACAACAAACTACTTGTTACTCTGCTCACCACTTTTTAGGGCAGGACAGTGAGAGAACTCTGATCTATCGCAGTGAAAACTCAGATAAACTATGAGTTTTGCGGACACAGTGTGGAGGAACGCCACCAACCCAAACAACACAAAAGGCGTGCAGGGCAGAGAGGTACCTACAGGGCGTTATAAGGAAAAAATAGTGCTCAAAAACGTATTTCTTTGAATTTAGCACTGTTCTACAATTATCAGCATAACATATAAGACTGTATAAGACACAGGTTAGTTCACTGGTCATTTTGGAAAGCAGATAAAATAGTGATATGTGTACTGTAGACATATGGTTCTTAGTACTATAATGGTGAACAATTTTGACTCAGTAAATTATTCTAGAAAGGCGCAGTTCACACCAAACTACTCTGAATGATTTTGTTTACATCTAAACGGTTGAGTGATAAAGTAATTTTGCAAAATTGGCGTCCCCTTTAACATATATATATATATATATAGCTCATTATTGAAGTAGTTAACATTGGAAGTACATTTACGGAATGAACAGACAGATTAACTAATGTAGTAACACTTAATAATCCATTATTCATAACAGATAATTACCATATTTCCTCGTGATTTATTTGTGCATCGTTTCTAGATTACTAAGGAATTGTATTGTAAAGCATTGCAAAAAAAGTTAAATTAGATTAATAATCTACATTTAGAATTTTGTTTTCCTTCACCATCCAGGGGCAACGCTAGGGTTAGTGGACATCAAGGGCTAAAATATATTATGACAATTATTTTCTGTAAAGTTCTACCACAGGTTTGAGTAATTTAATTTTAGACAGTACTACAGGAATATTGTATTAAGACGTTCTTATTATAGATATTACAGATCACTCATACAGAAGTAATATTGAGCTGCACTTTATTCGTTTATTTGACAAATACTGAGTCACAATACATCCATTATCACCACTGTTAGCGTTCTAGCTACTGTGGTAGGTACAGTCACAAATTTCTCTCGATGAAAAAAAACATGTCTGGTGGAAAACAGATGTTTGACTTTCTGGTGGTTATGGCACATAATCCTATTACATTACATCACTTTACTTCACAGGAATATGGTTTTGTGTCAGTTTCCATTATTTTGTTTCCAAAGTTTTGGTAAGGTTATTTGACGAGAAATCTATGTAATTTTCTGAACGCACTGATCATTTATCATTTCACATTTCATTTTCATGTTACATGAAATGTCATAGTAAATGAAATTGTCAGAATGCCCCAGTGTATTTTTTTGTATGACCTGTGTGTGTGTTTCAGTCCAGAGACCGGAAGATAGTGGGAGATCTGGAGGGAGCAAGAACATACGGATCTACCGCTCGTTGTTTCAACGGATGGGCCCTCGCTCTGATTATTATCACCATAATAATCGTCATCATCGTAGTGGTTATGGCTGTCAAGGGTGGCTTAGTGGCATACAGTCTGCTTAACAAAATATAAAAAACTGTTGTCTCTGTCTCAGCTTTGCTAAGCAAAAGGATCATTGTCAGAATGAAAGCTTTTCATGTTGATCTCATTAACATTTCACGCTTTGTAACTGGATGCTTTGTCTTGTTAGAGATATTTTTTGTGAACGAAAAGTAAAATTTCTCTTACTTTTATGAAAACTGAATAATTAAAGAGACTCCATACTCGAAACATTGACAGACTGTGTTCGTTAATGCGAGACATAACCCCTTGTGTATCCTTCTTTGGGTTTCTCTTGTTCTTCTGGGTTTTCCTTGAGTCCCTTTCTATAGTTTTCAGGGACATATTACATAGGAGTTCTCCTGAGAGAAAGTGCTGAGACCTCTCAATCAGTCACTTTCCGCATCCGGAATTCTTTGTCTTGGCTTCCTTGCTTCTTTATTTGTCTACCTTTTCCTTTTACACGGGTCCCCCTCTCACAGCGTAACTCACCCCCCTGGGTGAGTTACCCTATTACAACATGTCAAGTGTGCAAAAACCATGTGTTTATTCACACATGAAATTCATTACGAGACCAACATTCCAAAAATGTCAGGACAAAGAGGCGTCTCTTTCAACTCAGTCACATTGTATAAACATGGTAGAAATTTGTAACTGAACTGTTAGCACACCTGTCATTGTCAGGCTGCTGAGACAGACATTAACTCAAGAGCCCCCTCCTAGGAGGGGTGTCCACATCATTACTGGGCTTTTTGTGTAAAATTTGTGCATCAAAAACTAATTTGTTCACATTTTCTTTCAAACCAAAACAAGTCATGATGCAAAACCATAATTAGCTCTACACACATGGAGGAATAAATGTAACACCTCATCCAAAATATTCCATTAGAACAGCAACAGCAACATCCCATGAGTTCATAAGATGTCTCTCAAAGAAGTCTGAATTAAATACTTCTAAGCTAATTTACCTTGTTTGCTTTCTTTACTTTTTTCTGGGAAACACCGCAATTCCAACACTTATGATCTTTTCTGTTCTGGTTACTAAAAGATGGCCAGCAAACCTCTGAGATACCGAGTACCAGTCATGAAAAATATGAAAAATATCATTATAAAACAAGTTAGCCTATTTCCCTGCATACATTGTGGTGTTAGTGGTCTTTCAGGTATTTTGGGTAATCATAAAAGACAAAATAGTTTACAAACAAAACTGAGCTTGTTCTGAGCATGTTATGTGTTTGAGCCAGCATGTGTGTGGAGCCCAGAAAGGTACCTTTAATCTATATATTAACATAGTTATATAAAAAAGAGTAGAAAGTATGAATTAAATATAAAATTGTAGAAATGATGAAGTAATTGAAATGTATAAAAACCTACCTTACAAACTCACACACCCTCACTGTGCCATACATGCACACATTCACATTGCTCTAGTGCTGACTAGCAGAGTTATCGCACCCAGTTGTTACACTGAAGTTATTGCACAGGTTGATCCAAATTGCACACGAGATATGTAATTATGGTTGATAACAACTATATTGTTATCCAATTTATATTATTCTCGTCTTTTATTATTATTATAGCCGTTTCTTTGCCGCGTAACTAGTCCCGCAGCTTTTGAGATATCGACACCATTCCAACTCCAGATTGTCCGGCCTGATTGTGTGATGCGTGCTTGTATACAGCTTTTTGATCGGATGCACGGATTCCGTGTGGCAAGGGAATTTTGCAGAATTTTTTCCCATAGAGAATGAATGGGGTGAACATTTGCATGCCAATCTAAGGTACTTCTGCTTGTCCGAACGACACCGTTTTTCATACACTATCTCAGGGCAGGCCCCCAAGCATGAATCCACTTTCGTTCTGACCCGCACTCATCCATTTGTCGTTTTATTCCATCTTTCGTCTCTCTCATAGGCTTACATTGAGCGGACTGTTGGCAGCATGCCAGACATGATGTCACAATGGGCCGTTAACTCACACACCCATCCAAACTCACGCATGGAGCCCAATGTCTCACCCACTCCCAGCCTAATGCTCAGCAGTGTCAGCACACATAATGATTTTTTTAAGGTGGAACTGCTTTTAAGGTGGAATTGCACTTAGCTAGCACAAACACTAATCCACTGCCGTACTGACCTGCACTCCTCTTTGGGTCATTTTTTCATCCCTCGTTCCTCTCATTGAGTCTCATTCATTTTCGCCACCACTCAAATTCTATTACTTCTTTGCCCGACACCCACCAAAATGCAAGTACTCACTCAGGTTACTGCTCCACGCCCTAATGCACAGCCATACTGACCTGCACTTGTCTATTTGTCATTTTTTCATCCCTCGTTCCGCCCTTAGAGTCCCATTCATTTTCACCACCATTTAAACTGTATTACTTCTTTGCCAAACACCCACCGAAATGCAAGTACTCACTCGGGGCAACGCTCCAAGCTCTAATCCACTGCCATACTGACCCGCTCTCCTCTATTTGTCGTTTTTTCATCCTCGTTCCGCCCTTAGAGTCCCATTCATTTTCACCACCACTCAAACTCTATTGCTTCTTTACTCAACGGCAAACAAACTACATATACTCACTCAGTGCAGGTCCCCAAGCTCCTATCCAAAGTCATTCTGACCTGCACTCCTCTATTTGTCGTTTTTTCATCCCTCGTTCCTCCCATAGAGTCTCATTAATTTTTGCCACCACTCAAACTCTATTACTTCTTTGCCCGACAGCCACCAAAATGCATGTACTCGCTCAGGGCACATCCCCAAGCTCTAATCCACAGCCATACTGACCCACACTCCTCTGTTTCTGATTTTTTCATCCCTCGTTCCGCCCTTAGAGTCCCATTCATTTTCGCAACCACTTAAACTGTATTGCTTCTTTACTCAACGGCAAACAAACTACATGTACTTACTCAAGCCAGGTCCCCAAGCTCCAATCCAAAGTCATTCTGACCTGCACTTCTCTTTCTGTCATTTTATCATCCCTCGTTCCTCCCATTGAGTCTCATTCATTGTCGTCACCACTCAAACTCTATTACTTCTTTGCCTGACACCCACCGAAATGCATGTACTCACTCAGGGCACATCCCCAAGCTCTAATCCATAGCCATACTGACCCGCACTCCTCTATTTGTCGTTTTTTCATCCCTCGTTCCTCCCATAGAGTCCCATTCATTTTCGCCACCACCCAAACTCTATTACTTCTTTGCCCGACAGCCACCGAAATGCATGCACTCACTCAGGGCACATCCCCAAGCTCTAATCAATAGACATACTGACCTACACTCTTCTGTTTCTCGTTTTTTTCAACCCTCGTTCCTCCCACAGATTCCCATTCATTTTCGTTTCCTTTAGGAAATGCACTTTTCTAGTTACATTATGTATGTGTATTTAGACGTCTGTGAGTGTCCTATTAAAATACTATCATATGATGCAGTGTTCATGAGGATGACTGCCAGACGTTACTGAGACAACGTTATGTAGTGCATTGTCCATGAAGACAATTTCCCTGCTAAAGTAACTGTTCCTGAGCCTGGATATATGATTAGCTAGAGTCCTGTACCTCCGGCCTGATAGAAGGAAATGAAGGAGTGATGACTGTTCTGTACAGGTTTGTTAATCTGTTGCAGTACTTTCTGCTCAGTTTTGTTACAGCTGGCATATCACACTCTTCACTGTCTAATTGCACAGCACCTGACAGGATGGACTTCATCTTTTCAATCTTTGCAGGTAGTGCAAAGACTGTGCTTTGCCTGTGATTGAGGATATTTTAATGCCCCATAGCTGGTAACTGTATCTTTGAGTCACCTCAGGCCTTGTGGTCTGAGAAACTTCAAGACTCCTGGCATTCAGAGTTTCCTGGCTACTAGCCTGGTGCAGTATGCAGCATACAGTATATACTATAAATATGCACAGTATATGTACTGTAATATGTACAGCATACACTGGTGCAGTATGCAGTATACAATATTAGTGCAGTGTGCAGTATACAGTATTGGTGCAGTATGCATTATGTACCAGTACATACCATACTGCTGATGGTGAAGAAGAAGAGAAGCTGGCAAAAGAGAAGCTGGTAGCAGAGACGGCACAGGGATGGCCAGTGGCAGAGAGGATGGCGGAAGAGATGGTGTGATAACCAGCCGGCTAGGCACATCTGCCTCCTACAATGGTGAAAGTGTGTGAGTCATACTGTGCACATAATCTACAAATGGCAGACCAGCCATGATGGCCACCATCCAGCTGTGCCTGGCCCTGGAAGGAGAAGTGCTCCAGGTGCTCACGGACCTGCCAGCGGAACAACAGAGCGACCTAGCGGCATTGACTGCGGCTCTCCATGAGCGCTTTGGGCAGACATTGGCAGCGCTTTTACCCAGGAGGCTACTATTCTGCAGATGGAGGCTAAAGTGAAAACACGATGGTTCGACAGGCCATCTATGTGGCTGCTGCCCCTTGCTCTGGGTTGCAGAACGGGCGTGAGAGAGTTGTGGTATTCAAAACTACACTGCACGCTCTGCCTTGCCTCCAGTTGGTTTGAGGTGTGTTTTTGTGTTGTTTGTGTTATTTCTTGTTGGGCTGTGGTGTTATAGTGGGAGGTTGTGTGCCTGTCATTAGAAAAAAAACTGTATGGCTAGAAGTACCTGTTGCTCCCTGGCTGTGTTTATATGAGACTTTTCTGCTAGTGTAAATAAAAGAGCACTTCTTGTGGCAGAAATAGTGGTCTGTCCTGTGTCAAATTGTCAAATAGCAAGTCCCTGGGATTCTAATGAACATCTACGGAATGTAGATAAAATCTGAAAAATAGCGGAAATAATACAGCTTGTCCATTAGGGGGCAGTGCCTACTCATATTCTGACATACTTTATAATACCTAAGTAAGGACTGACTCACCAGAGAAAAGCAATGTTTAGATTTGTAGTGTTGATTAATGATGCTGTTATGATGATGGGAAATATTCACAGTTTTGTCCACATTTTGCTGTAAAACAATAGTTTGATTAATCTGATAAACTTGTTGGAACTGACTTATCAGAGAAAAGCATTACTGAGATTTTTAGTATCCACATTTTGATGTAAAACAGTAGTTTGACTAAACCAATTATATTGTTAATATTGTTAATTAACTAAATTAAGATTGGACTATTTCTTTGTTTAAAAGGTTTTATTTAAAGATCAGGAATGTAGGTGAGACACTGCAGCAGCAAAGTTAATATTTCTGATCAAAAATTTCTGTAGCAGAATCAGCTCAGTGTGCAGAGAGGCTGTAGAGGACCTGTATGGAGGGGCAGCAGCACCCTGCCCTGTTCTCCACATAATAACAGACCTCTCTCTCTCTCTCTCTCTCTCTCCCCTCTCTTTCTCTCCACCCCTGCATACTGTGGATATAAGCTGGAATCAGGGTTTCTGGGGCTGCAGTGAAATCAGTGCTCTCAGTCCTCTCAGGTCAGCAGCAGGATGGACAACGCCACGTACAGCTACTCGACCGACTGCACTCCTCTCACGAGCTGTAAGTCTGCTCGCAAGCCAGCCGGCTCCACAGTGGTGAATATGGGCGCAGCCGGGAAAAAGCCCCCCAACGACTACCTGGTCTGGTCCCTCTGCAACACCCTGTATGTCAACTTCTGCTGCCTGGGCTTCATGGCCCTCATCTACTCCATCAAGGTGAGAAACAACAGCAAGGTCATGTCTCTCTCTCCCTCTCTCTCTCTCTCTCTGTGTAGCAACCTCTAAAACTGTAAGAGCCTGGGTGTTGGTCCATACTTAAGTTTTTCCCTCTCATAACTACAAAACTTAGATATTATATCCATAGTAGTTAGTGAAAAATGTATAGTACTTACTAGATCATTTATATTAGTTACTGGAGAAGTTTTTATATTAATTGCTGAATAAAAAGGCTGCAGTTTAAAGGGTTAACAGCTGCTTCTGTGATGCAACTGAACAAAAAACAAGAAGAAGGTAAATCACATGAGAGTACCTACTCTCAGTGTGTGACAGTGTGTTAGCTGAAAGCAGAAATAGACCCTGTCATGGTCGTGTCCAGCACCCAGACCTATTGAGCTAGTAATGCTGCTTTCAGGTCTGATGTAAAAACAGCAGCAGACACATTTGAGCAGAAAGTGATTTAACCTGAGCAGAATGTACACTGAAAAAAGTGATGTACTGAGACAATGAAAAAGCATAGAAGAGAGCAAATTTAAGAGAAAGAAGGGAAAGAGAGATAACAAAAGAGAGAGAGGGAGAGAGAGCTAAAGAGAAATAAAAGAAAATGAGGAGAGAGAGAAACTGGAGAGATAAAAGAAAGAACAAAATAAGGAGAAGAGAAAGAGGACATAAAAAGGGGAGAAAGCAGAGAGAAAACAGGAGAGAAAGAGAGATAGAGAATGAAAAACAGGAAAGAGATGATTGAGAAAGAAAAGAGCAAGAGAGAGAGAGATAGAGAGAGCAGTAGCAGGCCACACTCCCTCTGCGATGCTGAAATTAGAGAGGCTGGAGTTTATAAATGGAGTGCTGTAATTAGTAGGTAGCTAATGGTACAGCCAGTCCTCCGGATTACAGACAGCACTGCAGACATTGCACTCTCTCTTTCTCTCTCTATCTGTCTATGTCTCTCTCTCAAACATACTCATACATTTATGTCTTGATTACACTGCAAAAAAGTACACACCCCAGTTCTACGCAGCAGAAACTCACACAGACATTCACCCACTGTGACCATCAACAATAAAATTTCTATTTAGCTAAACGGCAAACCAGACATCCGCGTATCTGATGAGCTGTGACTTCCTCAGACCATAACATGCTTGTGTACGTGCGTGTGCGGTTTCTCTCTGCAGGCGCGAGACCAGAAGACGCTGGGAGACTTGCGTGCTGCTCAGGAGTGTTCGGACAAGGCCAAATGGTACAACATCCTGGCCTCAGGCTGGAACCTGCTGGTGCCTCTGCTGATGTTGGGCCTGCTGGTGCTGCTGATCGTGCACTTGGGAAGCTCCCAGGGAGCCTTCGACTTCTTCGGAGAGGACGGCTTCCAGAACTTCATGAAGCTGTTCGGCAGGTAGACTGACAGACAGACAGCAAAGGAACCAAACAACAACAACAACAACAAGCCGTGGACTTATCACCCTCTGTGCCTCGCAAAATGTGTCTCTCTGCTCTTTGTTTTTATCTTATTACCAATGTCTTATTGTATTGTTATAATTGTTATGATTTTTTGTATGTTCAGAGTCTTGTATGCTAAATGAGAACTTTCCAGTCGTTTCCAAAAGACAATTTTCCCTCTTTATTTGAAGTAAATGTGACTTTTTAGTGGAATAAAATATTTAACTTCATGAATAACTTTGCTCTCATGTCGCTGTGTTGGGGATTTGTGGAAAGCGTTGTTAACTTGAAAGCTTCTGAGATCTCTCACTGAAAACTGCTTTTAAGGGAAATTAGTCTTTCATTAGTATTTCAAAAAATCATTGTTTTAATTATAAACATAAGTCACCTGGCTGACTTTTATTTGTTTAACCTCAAAATATTAAGTTAACAACACAACAATATTTGTTGTATGTATTGTTTGAAATTCAGTAAAATAAACATTTTAAGGTTGTCAGGTTACCTACTTAAGTTAAAATATAGTGAAAAGTTTTTACAGTGTATTGTCACTGTTTCAAAACCTTGTATCTCCATTTCATTTATTTATTTATTTATTTATTTATTTGCTAGCTGCCGTTTAGTGGTAAAATCTTGTTACTTTAACTTCCACTGAAGGTTAGGGAAGTTTTTTCCTTCTCCTGTAAAGTTATGTTTCTGGAGACATAAGGTTTTGTTCCAACAGTGCTAGTGTTTATGGAGACCTCCAGAGCAGAGCACTGGCCTGAATGATGCTGGTCTTTCACATATCCAAACTTTTAATGGTACCATTCATTAAGCAGATCTGACCACTCGCCACCTGTAATATCTTACAGCGGTAAGTGGTCAGAGCGGGTAGAGTTTGTTCTCTTCATGCTAAAAAGCCATAAGGATCATATAGAACCGTTTTTGTTGAATCTCTTGTGAGAGATGAACATGGCACTGTGGTCTCTCCTCTGTAATAGAGTGCTGTATGTGTGCTGTGGGCTGCCCTGCCCTGTTGGGTTCCACTGCTGACCACTCCTGGTCCTGCTGGTATTTATATGATCTAAATAACAGATCTGCTTGCCAGTGCTCCAGTCCTGCTCTATTTCTGCCGACTAAAAGAGTGGAGACAGATGTGGTACAGCACGATTAAAGAGCAGGAACACACACACACACACACACACACACACACACACACACACACACACACACGCACACACACACTCTCTGAAACACACACACATGCACACTTCAATTAAAGACCAAATATGCTCACCCAGAATACATTACAAGACCTCTGTGATCACACACATAGACCTTTAACTCTGACTCGTATTACATGACAGAAGCGGCTTATGCCAACAGACACACACCTGCCTCAGACACACAGCTAGAATTTAAAGGGGAATTCCTCTAGTTCTTCTAAATGTCTTCATAACTCAATCATCAAATTGTAAATAAAGTTATTTGCAGTGGATTGATTTGAAAAGCTCCGTTTTAGAGAAACTGACTGAGTCTGAATTGTTCACAGTGGTGGTGATGAAATGAAATGGCTATATTTGCACTGTGACCTCTGATTCCAATCAGCTGGAGTGTAAAGAAATCTGAGAAGTTTAATTTCTCTATAATCAAACCACTCTGAAAGACTCGGTACATCTCAGTGATTGAAATATGCAGTACGTTTAATAAAATCAGTGGAATTACCCTTTAACAACAGACTTATATGCTGTGCAATTCAATGATTTGTGCAATTCACTAAACAACACAAACGTAAAGAAAGAGGCTTTTATATTCATATTAACTAATTAATCCATTGACCTACACTGACACAATGGATGGCCTGAATTTAGTTGATTTAAATTTGTACATCATTTCTACATGGATAAAATATCAACAAAGTTATTGTCAAAAGACAAAACTGTGCTGGTGTAATATGTTTCATTCATGTAAAAATGATGTACACATTTAAATCAAGCAGATTCATCATGTTTTTCAGAGTAGGTTTTTTATTTAAGACATTATATTATATTGTGTTACATTCAAATATTATATTGTAATATATTATATTCTAAGGCCTAGCTTTAGTAAATCTGCTGTCCTAGTTTAACAACACATACAGGTCTTGTCCTAAAACATACTTTCCCCACAGGTCAAAAGATCAAAGGTAGTTGAGACCCATTTCAAATATTAGTGAAAAGCTAACAAAACTGTTCCACGCTGCAGAGTCTGCATGACCCCCGATTCCTGAACACGCCATTGGCCCTGAGGGCCTGACGTCGCTTTCACAAGCGCTTAAACACTCTCAATACAGGTTCGATGTGACAGAGCGGGACTTTACACCTGAATTGAACCAACACCGCCAAACCAGCTGAGTCTGCTCCTTATGACCGGATCCTAATGACCAGCTTCTAGCAAACAGCTGACAAGCTCCTAGCAACCAGACCCTAACGACCAGCTCCTGGCGACCAGACCCTATAACCAGCTCCTACTGACCAGACCCTAACGACAAGCTCCTAGTGACCAGACCCTAGCAACCACATCCACGCGATCCATCTCCTGGTGACCAACCTCACGTGCCATAATGAACGTGAGCAGGTACACTTTTGCTGTGACTAAACGATAAGCTATATCACCTCACAAAATATTTGGTTAAAAATACCAACGTCAGTGTAGGTATCCAGAGTTACTGTTTCCTTTTCATTAGTTTCATTTCATTAGGCAATTAAAACTCTCTGTGCAGACCTGTCTTCTTAAACAAAATCTAGCTCTATGAAGGGCAAAATTCAAACACTAATTGTTCAAAACATCAATTTGAGTAGACCTGATCAGGCCTAGACCGCAACTATTGAGATAATTGCCTGATTGCCATAGATATTTGAAGCAAAAAGGCTTAAAGAAGAATCAAAAAGGATAAAAATCTTTAATGAATATTGCAGACAATACGATACTGCCACACTTTATTAATAAATAACCAGAACTGGGTAGAGTGACCTAAACCCACATTTAAGTAAAAAGTGTTACTCTGGTGAAATAATGACTCAGGCAGAAGTAAAAGTACCTTTTCACATAACAACTTAAGTAGAAGTACAAAAGCACCAGGAAAAAATACTGAGTACTAAGTAATTAATAGAACTGCAATGGAACTTCATAGTACTTCTAGCATCGCCACACACTCTCAGAAAAAAGGTAACTGTCACTGGGGCAGTACCCCTCTTGTCACTGGGGTGGTACCCTCAAGGGTACATCTCAGTACCTTTAGTCAGGTAACATGATTGTACCATAATTATAAAATATAAAATTTTATTTTCTAAGTTGTATTGACTCCACACACCCTGTCTCATCTCCAGGCTTTTTATTTTATTGTTCTGTTTAAAAACATGTTAAGTTATGAAAAGGTACAAATATGTACTATTCCAATGGGAAAAAACATACTTAAGGGACACAACCTTTATTTCTAACAGTGTAGGAAGTGAAGTTTGTTGAGCCATGTTCTTTTGTTTTTGATGTGCTTTTGGTCTAAAATAAAATACTGTCACCTCATATAATTAATTTTATATTTACATATAATTCACTAATAGAATGAAATTGAACATTAAGAATTAGTACCTCAATGTGAATAACTTAAATGTACTGGGGTAAAAAGTAGATGTCTTTACTCACTGTTAAAAATCCATCAAAATTTTACTTTAGTACATGTAACTATGTAAATGTAACTAGCTACTACCCACCTCTGTAAATAGCCACAGTGGATAGCCACAGTTGGAGAAGAACCCTACAGTCAAACAGACTCATATAAAGACTCATACAATTTCATATTCATTCCATTTTACAGGTCTTGCTTAACAGTCAGGTCACATATTTGACAGAATGTAGGTTGTGTTTGCATATTTGCTGTTGAGGAGTTGGATGACCTCATGTTCCAGGCCAACACAAACTGTGAAGTTCTCTTCACATCAGAAAACGACCCATTAAGAAACTGAAAAGTGTTTCTACTTACAGTGTTTTAGGTCATTTTAACTTAACTGGATTTATAGTTGGGGATGGGTAGGTATTTTGTGTGACCGCGCTGGTGGTGTTTTAGGGCACTTGGGTGGATCACACACTCCATGTTCATGCTCACAAGCTAAAATTAGCAGCTGCAGCAGATGTCTATATAGAGTAGATTTCTGTGCTGTTGGAGTTTAAGGTATAATCTTCTCCGCTGGGAGATTTTACCGGTAATGATAAATGGTGCAGTTCATCAAATGAAGCTTTCTGGGTGTTGTTCAGATCCCACCCAGTTCCCGTAATAGCTTGTAAAAGCATGTATGCTATGGTACAGTCATGTGTCTGCATTCGAGCAAAAGTACTGAAAACCCTTTTTTGCGTCATGCTGTAGTGTTGACGTGGTATCTGTAATATGTGTAAACCCACTTAACTGTTATGGCTTGATTTTGATATCTAAACACACACAATTTTTATCCCCAAGGAACTCCAAAATGTAATTTTAATCAAATGCTTGTGCATGAAAGCCTATTCATCTTGCAATAGGATTCTGATGTTCAGATCAAAAGTGGTTTGCAACTATATCATGCTGTTGGTAACACTATATGCATGTTTTTCAGTCCACTTTTAGTCTTACTGAATGAAAGAGAGAGGCCACTTTAATGTTTTCATCTCGAAGTAATCATTCTCCAACAATCTACCAGACTGTTTTGGGAAAGAAGTCAAGCCTAGACTTCAGAAGTGCAATATTCAAACCAGTGACATAGAAAAAGTAACTGAAAAAATACTTTATTGTGAGATAAAGTGTGTTAGAACCTAAAGGTGTAAATGGACAATCATGTTTTTGTCTTCTTTTTCTCACCATGCATCCATTCTGGACACATTCAAAGCCAACCCATCTGACTCTACTATGAAACACAATGAACTGTGGGATTATGAGTTTAAGTGTGGATGTTTATTGTCCTGTTGACTTGAAAACAAAGGTTCCACAATTTTTTTTTTTTGAGCAATGCCATTGAAGAACCACTTTTTGTGCTTAAAAGATATTTGAATAAGACATTTCTAAATGCGAAGAACCTTTGAAAGGTTTAAAGGACCTTCATGTAATGCAAAGGCTGTGTACCAGTTTAATGGTTCTTCTTAGAACCTCTACATTCTGCTGAGGTTTTTAAACTTGAAAAAGGTTCTTGACACTCAAACATTTCATCATATGTCAAGGTTCTCCAAAGAACCACCCACTGAAAGGTTTTTTTATAGAACCTAAAGTTGTTCTTCCATGGCACGTTTATTTTAAAGAGTGCAGTTACATTGAATTGTGTTTGCCAGCAAAAACAGTTGGGCATTTTGTTGAGTAAGCTCAGTCTCAATCAAAACATTATACTCAGAGTGCAATGTCCTGTTTGGAGTTTAGTCTCTTGAATGTGAGTTGTTTAGAATTCGAGCCAAACGTTTGCTTCTCTCCATCACACTTGATTTGACGGCATGATAAACACTATTGATCTGTTCTGTTTGCACAGTGGATCTGTTCTGATTGTCCTCTGGCTTCTGTCACAACAAACCACAGCTAACTGTCTTCATCATACAGACAATCTAATCTATACTTTCTGAAATGGGCTTCTCACTTCCCACATCCAAAGGCAAATAAATAAATAAATAAATGAATGAATAAATAAATAAATAAATAAAATCTCTGTATAAAGAACTAAATGAGCAATCCATTGTGAGCTGTCCAGTGTCTACAGTCTACTCTCAATGTGTGTCAGAGGTTAAAGTGACTCAGTCGTTGTTTATTGTACAGCCAAAAAAACAAAAAGATCAGGCTAGAGCAGTGAAAGAACAGTGAGTGAAACAAATATATAGATAGGTCGATAGATGCTACTGTGTTTAAGCAGTCTGTGTTGTGTTACCTGTGCAGGTGTCTGCTGTTGCAGGCAGAGGTTCAGGCGTTTATTGAGCACTGCATGCTGGCTGTGGGCACCAGACCCAGTCATGCCCACAGCCTGGCAGAGGTGCTGGTGGAGGGAGACATGCGCGGTCATTACAGTCACGGACTCAACCGCCTGGGTGAGTTTACCAAACTGGAGTACATTAAAGAGAAAATTCAGGTATGAAGATGGCTGATCCTGCTGTTCAACTTATTTATTAATATACTATGGGTAGTACGTCATAAAGTGTCAGAAACCACATAAGCAAGTCAAATTAATAAACATCTTGTCACAGTTTGCAGAAGCATTGGGTGGTGATTTAGGAGGTTTTCATGATGCTAAGATACAAACTTCCATTATTTGTTAGCTACTTTGGCCTCATAGAGTTTGGTGTTTGGATGTTAGACCACTGAAACTCGTAGCTCCAGTGCAGAACTAAAAAAGCAAACTTTAGACACCAAAGATTTGTGTAAGTTAAAAGTTGTGTTAATTTGGATTTTTGTTGAACTCTTACATTAACCACTGTGCTGTACACACAAATCATGACTGTTAGACTTAGGCCTTTAGTTTGGGCTGTGAATGTCAAAACTCTGTCAAAAATAGGGAAAAAACACTTCTGTGATAAAGTTAATTTCTGCCAGCACCCCCTGTGATTTTTAGCTGTGTCTTAGTGCTAAGTTAACAGCTATTCAGTTGAATCACTACTATGCACAGCTTTACATTATATATTGACAAATAATAACAGACACTGTGATGTAACTTTGTAAATTAACTTTGAAGAAGTTAATTAAACCTGTTACTGAGAGGATCTCTTTCCATTCTGTTCCAAAAATACTGAACATCATGCTCCTGTATGTGTGTGTGCATGTGTGTGTGCGTAGATTTGTATGTAAAGGAGATCCATGCAGGAATCTGTGCGCAGGAGGGGGAGCCTCTGCTGGAGAAAGAGTCGTTGGCCACGGCCCTGGTGAACGGAAGGAACCTCTTGGGTCCGGTGGTGGGAAATTACTGCATGAGTTTAGCTCTAAAGAAAGCGCGAGAAGCGGGCATCGGCTGGGTGGTGGCCCACGGCAAGTCAAACACAGCTTCATGTTTCTAATGCCTGTATTTAAAACCCACTCTTCAGTTCCTCACAGCATAGCTTACATATAAGTCTCAGAGTACAAAGTTTTTTATTAATGAAAGTCTTACAATTAATAAATAAATAATAGGCCTGCTGTTTAAGAGTAGTGGTAATAGTGATAACATGGTTTTGATGTTTAGGTGTTTGACTACTGAAACTACATGTGTATAATGTAAATATATTGGAAGTGCACTGGTGTTACCATGCACTGTTTTTTGTTCTGTTCAGGCTCCAATCACTACGGCATTGCTGCTTATTATTCCATGCAAGCACTGAAAGAGAACATGATTGTGAGTAGTCTGTAAGTGTATGAGGGAGATGGTGTGTGAGTAAGAGAGAGAGAGAGTTAGAAGGGGAGAGAAAGAAGGAGAGAGAGAAAGCAAGAAAGAGAGTGTTGAAGAGAGAGAGTTATGGAGAAAGAGTGTTAGGGAGACAGAGTGAGAGAGAGGGAGAAAGAGAGTTAGAGTGAAAGAGAAAGAGGGATAGAGAGAGAAAGCAAGAGAGAGATAGAAAGCGAGAGTTAAGGACGGAGTGAGAGAGAGAGTTAGAGACAGAAGGATAAAGAGAGTTAGAGGGAGAGAGAGTTCAGAAGAGAGAGATTTAGGAAGAGAGTCAGAGACAGAGGGAGAAAGAGAGAGAAAGACAGAGAGAGTCAGAATGGAGAACATTAGAGAGAGAAAGAGATAGATAGATAGAGGGATAAAGACAGCAAGGAGGAGAAAGAGAGAAAGAAGAGGAGGGAGAGTTGAAGAGTTAGAGAGAGATAGAAAGAGAGAAAGGACGAGAGGAAGAGTTAGAGAGAGAAGGAGAAAGAGTTAGAGAAAGAGAGAGAAAGAAAGAGAGAGAGGGGAAAAACAATGAGAAAGAGTGAGACAGAATTACAGAGAGAGAGAGAGAGAGAGAGAGAGAGAGAGAGAGAGAGAGAGAAGAAAGAAAGAGAATTCAGTGAGACAACTCTAAGTCTGTTTTGTGCCTGCAGGGAATGTCCTTCACTAACACCTCTCCTCTAGTGGTTCCAACACGAGCTAAAGAGGTGAGTGTTCATTATGACCTCTAACCTGTATAACTCTTAACCCCTTAAATGGCCCAAAGTTTTATTACACACTTCTATAACCTGAGAATAGCTCGGCCAGTTCAGTGAATTCATGGTAGTTACTGAATAATAAGCCTTAGTGTGTAATAAGCCTGAGATTTTCAGGTCAATTTTAGTCCCCCAAGATACAAACCATGCAAATGTATCAAAGGTGCATCATGGTCCTTAAGGTCCAATATGATGTTTTATTTTTTTTTAAGTACAAAGATTACTTAAAATCTGGAGTCCAGACAGGGTGTATGGAGTAAAAGCAACTGCAGTAGAATCTGCTACAATCATTTTTGTTTTGTTTTGTTTTTTCTTTCTTGATAGTGTATTTGCATGTTCACAGTGTCTCGTCTTTATCAACACTCACTGTACATGATATTTCCTCTCAGAGGTCAACAGAAAAACTTTCAATTCAGTGCAGGATTTTTCTTTGCCTCGAATTAAAGTTTCATGCCTGCTATTCCTTATTAATTTATTTTTAATTAATGAATTATTAATGACACTGTTTCTGCTGACTTCATTACTAGTATTTGCTCTGTCTGTGTTTAATTGTGCATTCTCTGCTTAGTGCACTGTGGGCACAAACCCCATTAGTGTAGCAGCTCCTGCTAAGAATGGAGACAGCTTTGTTTTGGACATGGCAACCTCTGCAGCTGCCCTCGGAAAGGTATGGAAACACACACACACACACATTCGCATACACATACCAGACCATCAACCCTCCAGCTGTTGATAGAGTGTGTTCACATTACAGGGTTGAAGTGGCAAAAATCTGATTTTTTCAGGGCTGTGTGAACACAAAACTTTGAGCCACTTTCATATGTGCTCATAGATCAGACATGACTCATGGCCATGTGACCAGAGTAAGAATGGTCAGATCAAAATTCACACTAAGGGCAGATATTGTGCACTTAAAAAATGTGAGTGTGAACCAACAAGGCAGACAGATCAAAGCAAAAATGGATAAAAGAACATGAAGAAAGCCAAAATTATGTACACTGTCTTCTCACTTCATACATTGTGTCCGTTTCTCATCTCTCTCTGTCTTCTCACTGACCGTGTGTTTGTAGGTGGAGCTTCACCACCGTAATGGCATCTCCATCCCAGAGGGTTGGGGGTGTGACGCAGAGGGCCGTTTCAGTACTGACCCCAAGGCTGTGCTGAGTGGAGGAGGTCTGGTGCCGTTGGGAGGCAGCGAGAACACAGGTCTGTTTCTGTCTGTCTCAAACACTTCCTACTCTGTGAGGTCTCAGAAACCCCAATTAGACCCCACAGCATCCCACAGCCACCTATTAGCTGCTCATGATCCCTGTCATTACAGCCACTAATACTATCAGTTCAGCTTTTAGATACGCGCTGTAAGGAGTCATAATGATCAGTGCAGTTGAAACTGGCGAAAGACCTTGTTAGATTAGGGTGTGACAGTTCTGTCTAAAATCAGCGGTGCAGTTAGGGTGGGCGGTTCTGTTGATATTGTTGCTTGTATGACCTTTTCCACATTTCTCACAGCACCCTGGCTAAATGGGTTGTAGAATCTTTGTCATCTTTGATAGGTTCATTTGGAACAGATTTTTAAATGGGCATTATTCATCCTGGATATGTAGTGATTTTTGCAGGCTTATTATTCAGCTATTAATCGTATTAGGCCTACTAGTATAATGCAATTCAGTAACTAACATGAGAGAGTTATGTAATTAAGTTTTTCTTCATCTAAATGTTTTTTTGGATATATGTTCACATTTTTATGTTAAAGTATAGAAAATACTTTATTTGTTTCATATACAAAACTGTTGCTAAATCTAATGAGCTAACATAATTTATGAAGCATATTTTGGTCAAAACATTAGTTTTTTCCGTGTCACTACTCATGTTATTTCAAATGCATACAACGAAGTTACAGGCTTATAGAATTAAAATTTCATTATGTAAGTGTTAAAGTAAAACTTATTTACATAATTACAGTTGTTGATCTGTCATATAATTTTTTCCCAGAAATGTGTTTGTCTCACAGTTATACTTTCTTACTGTGGCACTGACCAAAATGACTTAACTCTTGTGTGGTGTTCAGGTTTGTGGGACCCATTTTCAATGTTTACCAAAAGAACACATGATGCAGTTTAGTATTATTTCAACCCCAGATTCCTTGGCATTTGCTCATTTTCTGTGAAGAACATATAAAATAATACATTTTCAATGACTTCACTCTGTACATTCCCATCCCCTTTATATTGTAGTGGGTAACACCTCTGCCTTCTACACTGTAGACTGGGGTTCAATCCCCGACCTTGGCAAGCACCCTACACTATACCAATAAGAGTCCTTGGGCAAGACTCCTAAAATTACATTCTCCTACCTGTGTGAAATGATCAAATTGTAAGTTGCTCTGGATAATTTACATAGATGTAAATGTAATACACATTTACATTACACATGTGGTGTTTAGGTGAACCCGCAGGGAATAAAAGTGCAGAGGTGCTATGTCCCTTCACTTTGTTCTCTTCCTACATGGCCTGCTGTTAGTGTGTGTGTGTGCCTGTGTGTGTATGTGTTTGTATATATGTGTGTGTGTGTGAGGGTGGACAACATGGACAGGCTGCTGAAGGAGAACCTTACGCTGACCATTTGTGATATTTTAAACATCTGGTATTTTTACATAAGTTGTTATAACTGTATTGATTGAAAAAAAAAAAAATAATAATGCGGTGGGTCCACCAGACCACTGAGTAACAAAAACATCAACACCACACAAGGGTTAATAAAAAGACTATGTTCTAACGCTTTACTTGAACCCTATCATATAACATCAACATAACCATGCCATAAACAGGTCATGGCAGATGTCATATCCTGTTATGAGTTGTTGTGACAGATTCTGTTCAATAATAGAACAGTGTCACGATGAAGGTCGTAATGTGTGACATCATAACAGCTAACTAAAATGAGCATGTCATGACAGTAAACATTATGGCAACATTACAATCACCAGTAAAAGTAGCATGTTACTGTTACATTACTGAACATAATCTGTCATGACAGCTCACAACAAGATGTGACATCTGCCATGACATGTTTATGGCAGGGTTATGTCGGTGTTTTGTAGCAGGGTTCAAACAAAGTGTTACCATTTATTTCAAAACCAAAACAACTACTTTCTACTTTCAATGGAAACATAAGTTAGCCAAAGAGCACATGGATAAAAGTGTGGGAGGTCTATTCTCGGTGTCCCTTGATGCACAAAATAGCATAGTAAATTTAAAAATGTATTATTGCTGTTGAATTCAAATATGATAGAAGCAAATGTAACTACTGCTCAATGTCCTTCATCATGCTGAAATAGCATTTAAACTGTAAACAAATTTTAAACAAAAATGTGGATCGCCAAAGCTGCTCATATTCATAGAAATATCCTGTTACGGGAGTGAGGTAATGAAATGTGGACCCACATACGTGCCCTTAGAGTTTAAGTGGATTAATAATAACCTTTATAATGTACTTTACATACCAAACAGGGCTTTAAAAAGAGCAGATCCTCTCAACTGAATGTGTTTTGTTGAATACCACTACAACACATCCAGCTGTGCACAAACTGTCACAGTTTTTTTCCGTATATGTGTCAGGTGGTCATAAGGGCTACGGCCTGGGCCTGATGGTGGAGGTATTCTGTGGGATGCTCTCTGGCTCCCAATACAGTAAAAACGTCCGCACCTGGAGAATGACTGACCGCAGAGCTGACTTGGTATTTCACTCACATGTACTCACAAATACACACACAGTCAGTCAATATGGAAGATAGATTGGGTCACTTATCACACTCATTTGCTGTTAGCTCACGTTTCTGGATGAAGTGTTCCTGTACGTGTGCCTGTGTAAACTGTGCGAGCAGTGTCCTCTAGTGGTTGGCATGTACTTTGAAACACACAAAGTGTTCTGTCTCCACTCCAGGGTCAGTGCTTTGTGGCCATAAACCCAGAGAACTTTGCTCCTGGATTCAATGACAGAATGGCAGATCTGCTGTCCATGCACAGAAACCTGGCACCAGTGAGTATCTCTCTCTAACCTGCAGCAAACACATCACATTGTTTACCCAGACTTATTAGTCCTACAGCAACATGGTATATACGTATACAGTGCTGTGCAAAAGTGAGGGACCACTCTTCATTTATTTAATTCCCAGTTAAATATGCACCACTGAAGAATGAATTATGAATTTTTCAGGAGATATTTCTGAGGAGATGAGATATATGGTGAACCTGTTTAAGGAAGGGGAAAATATGTCAAAAATTTCCAAAAACTAGAGCTCAAAAAAAAATTAAACATATAAAGAAAATGGGACTCCTAACAACCATACAATACCAAATAGACCACCAAAACTGTGTCCATCAGATAAACGTTACTTCAAGCTTTCATCTTTGAGAGAGAGGAGAAAACCAAGCTTTACTCGTCCTTCAGATCTGAATAAATCCACAGGATTTTCTGTCCATCCTTCTACTGTGAGAAGAACAACTCAACATTATGAGTCTAAAAGGATGTGTAGCTGTCAAGAAGCTGTTAGAGAGAAAAGAAAATAAGAAAATAAAAAAAAATAATAATAAAAAAAAAAGAAATTTTGCAAATCAAAGAAAGAAGCTGTTGGAATTCACAGTCCAGACCTCAACATCATTGAATGTGTATGGAATTATTTGGATCATGAGGAGCAGAAAATGCACCTGACTGATCTTTGGAGGTGTGAAAAATATCCCTGCAGATTTCTGAAAACTGAAAGCAAGTCTCCCAAAAACAATGGAACCTGTTACAAAAACAAAAAAATTGACACACTAAATACTGAAAAATGCTGTTGATGCTTCTGTGTTATTTTATGTTAAATATATGTGTTTGCTTTTTTCCTGATGCTGAAAAATTATTACTTTTTTGCCTTAAATAAATGAAAGGTGCTCTCTGACTTTTGCCCAATGCTGTGTGTAAGATGTATGAATATGTCTGTATTTTCTTCTTTAAGTGCCTGATCTGTGTGTGTCTGTTCTCACTGTACTGCCGTAGGCAGAGTCTGGGATGCCTGTTTTGGCTCCAGGTGACCCAGAAAGGAAACACATTCAGATGTGCAGAGACCTGGGGGGCATTCCATACCACCTGAAAGTGGTCAACCACATGGTAAACACATAACACACACACACACACACACATACACACACACACAGTCTGTACAGTTTAAGACACACTAGTTAAATTTTCCACATTTAGGGAAAGTGACCCAATAAAGCCCATGTGCAATAAAAGCCCACCTGTTCACTTTTTTACAATACAAAACATACAGGAGATATTATAAAAACCTGATATAGATAGATTAAGAATTTGTTTGTTTCACATAAAATGTAAAAAGATACGCTCATGATACTTTTTGGTGTTTTGTTTTTGATTTATGCACAACCTTGCATTCCTGCTGTGCTCTATGCATTTCAGAAATCACCTCTAAACTTTGTTTTATGAGAAGAAGACATTTTTCTGGAATTTGGCAACTAAACATACTGATGAGAATGATAAAATGAAGAGATTGAGATCAAATAAAGCCCTGTATGATGCATTTGCTTGTTATTTAAAAGCCTAATTTGGTATTTGAAAGATTGTAAGATTGTAAGTGTCTGTGTGAGCCTGTCATGGTTCAGAATGATGGTCACACAGATAAATACAGTAGATCAAAGGTGGATTAAAACAGCTGATGATCGCAGTGACTCAGAAGACTTTGGAAGCTTCCTCAGACACCAAAAATATTCAGTGAACTATCTATAATTATAAGATACACGTTTTGCTGTTTTCGGGCTAAAAAAAGAACAGTGCCATGAAAAACCTTATTAACACAAGTATTTAAGGTAGAATAAAGATTTAACAACTATACAAAAAATGTCTAAATAAAAAAATAAAATGTACTTTATTTTTTATTACGTTTTTGAATGTTTACATAAACTTTATGATAAATTATTTAGACTAATTTCCCTTGTACTACTTTTTAATAGTAACAAGCCTCCTGAGCTCAAATAGATTAATTCAACACAATTCATTTTGATTTATCAACTTAACTGCTTCTCTTCTTTACATTATAGCCTCTGCAGGGAGAGTAGGTAGGAAGAGAAATTATTATGGCCACTGTCTGAACATGAAGTCAGCCCATTACACTGGAACAGAGATCATTTTGTTAAGTGTTTTTAAGCAGAGGGGCAAAAGAAGGCCTGGGCATCCATAAGGAGATGGAGAGGAACAGTTTTAACCAATGAAAAAAAGACAGGAAAATATAAACATGAAATAAAATCAATATGTGACACATCAGCAAATCTTCTATTTATTCCAGTTTTTAGACTAGTCAGTGAAGTTTTCTATGTTCACTATGGCTGTCCTGTATGTTTACTTGAAAAGTCAAATTAACATAATATAATAGCTTTATGCAATATTCAGCGCTGTCTAGTTTTGTATTTGAATGTTTCTTTTAAAAAGAATTATCTCAAAAATGTCCAAGGCTAAAGATGTACCATATTGATTGATGAGATTTTAATCAACAAGAGATTATATATATATATATATATATATATGTGCTATTGAAAATGAAGTGGATTTATTTGGGACATGTGTGGGTTTAAAAAACTTTAATTCAATCATTTTATGACTAAATGTATGACAAGTGTTCACACGAAAGCCTGATCTTTCATTTTAAACTGACTTCATCTGGAAGAATTTCACATATCTGTGAGAAGACATGCTGTGTTTGATTGGGTCACCTCCACTATATTTCTATATAAGGGATTATAACAGATTCTGTGTGCATTATAAATTATTTTATTTGACACATATGGCTATGGTTTCTAGGACAAGTGTAATATTTATGAAGTTCTCTTCCTTGTGTTTAGGCCACAGCTGTGTACAGCTATGAAAGCAAAGTATTGTCCAAAAGTCTGGAATCTGAGAAAAATACCAGCTTTGGGCCAGTCAATGGTTCAATAAATTAAATCAGTGGTGCTGCTGATAGAATTTAACAATCAATTAGAATTTTTTTAATGTCCTACCAATAGGTGGCACCAGACTCAAAGCTCTTAATATAATCAATTATAATTTAATGAATCCATGCAATTGCTGAATAGAAAGAGGAACTAAACTTGTGTTCTTCTTAACAAAATCTCAACAGTAATTTTAAAACATGAGGTTCTTGTTGCATTTTACTGTTTATTGGAATGCATTCTAACGTAATGTGATGCTTGTATGAGCAAAAATCATTTTTTTAAGCTTTGATAAGTATTTTAAAATGATTTTCTTACCTGGTTTTTGCACAGTACTGTATACCCTGCCTACATTTTCTCTTTGTGTATCTTTCCTTCTCCTTGATACCAGAATGAACTTGCCAGCACATTAGGAGTGAGCCCCCTGCTGCCCACTCACAGACTCACTGAGTGAGACTGCGGCCTGTCTGCTCTAACCCACCTTCACTGAGTACAGCTATGGACACCTCTGCTGCTCTGTGGTGCCCTTTATTTGAAACAGCAGTTATTAAATGAAACATTATTAATAATTAATAAATTACTCAGTGCTGAGGACTGCAGCTTCACTTACAGACCTGCCAGCTGCAGACTGCTCATATCGGCCTGATGATTTATCCTCTTAAATGTGGATATGGGAAAGTGGAAATGTTGAAAAAAGATTTAACACTCATGTATTTTGCTTAAAGGGGAATTCCAGCAATTTCTTCTAATTTTCTTCATAAGTCAATTGTTAAGATGTAAACAAAGTCATTCTGAGTGGTTTGAAACGCTCTGTTCTAGAGAAACTTAACAAGTCAGAATTGTTTACAGTGGTGCTGATAGGAACCAGACATCTGAAGAGTTTTATGCCTTTAAAAGCTACATCAGATGTCATGAAATGGTAATGACTGCACTGCCAGATGCCTGAGATACTGTTTTATGATAGTTTTGAGATACTTTAGGGCTACAATGTACTTTTTAAAATCCATTAATGGTGGAGTGCTACATGTAGGGTATTATACGGCAAAGTAGTCCCTGAAGATAACTTTTTTTTCAGATTCACCACTGTTTTACTATTCTCAACATTACAAACAAAAACTCAGAAGATATGTGTAGATTCACAGGTAGTTTTGGATAGTAAATAAAATGGCTGAACTTGTGTTGTAGAAATTGTGACATGACCCCTGGTTCCTATCACCACCACTGTAAAGAAATTTGAGTCTGTAAGTTTCTCTGCAATGAACCATTTCACATCAAACCACTCTGAAGGTCTGTTTACATCTCACTGATTGAATTGTGCATACATTTTGAAAAATCAGTGGAATTCCCCTTTAAATCTACACACATCAGTAATTAGTCTGCTTAAACATCCTGTAAGCAATCTCACCAAAAAAAAAAGAAAAAAGCACAGATCCGAATGTAATTTTTTTTCTCAATATGTGAGATAAACACTGTATTACTGAATAAAGTGAGTTTAATTGTTTTTGCCCTTTGATGTACATGGATGCATTTATTATTACCTTCCAACAGGTGGTGCCAAACTTAAGGCTAAGGTGTTAGCTCTGTCCTCTGTCTTCCTCAGGCTTCAGATATAGAGAGGGTCTCATGTGCACTCACATTAACATTCTGTTCCTCAGAAGTATATTAAGATCATTCCTAGTGAAAGCTTATAATCTACAGCCCCCCACAGACGTTATGTCAGTTTAGATCTACAAGACCAAACCACAGCATATAATACAGTGTTCATACTGCCATATCTAAATGGCCTGTAGTGTAAAAAAATCTGAAGAGGGCGATTCAAGTGCATTGATTTTTTTAAGCTTAAAATCAATTGTAATTAATTAGAATTGTTGAAACTTAATTATAATACTATTGATTAACACACATTCTTATTTTTTAGCCTAAATGACATTTTCAAACATTAAAAAATAACTTGGTGTGTTGTTTTTTTAAACTATGTTCCAGTAATGTGTAAATTGAGTCTCCAGGCACACGTATGTCTTTGATATCAGAATACTAAATCATACTGAAATAACAATTTGAGATACACATACAAATGCCTTTTTCAGACATGGTTCTTTAAGAATCCAAAAGTGGTTCTTTTATGTTTTTAGAGTGCACTGGGGAGAGCAGGGAACAAAAGTAACCTGGGTAAAATGTAACATGGAGGTTTTATGTAGTTGAACAGGTTTTAGTAGAATGAGCTTTTAGTTATGTTCTCATATTCCCATAGCAACATCTCCAAATGCTAACAGCAGTCTGACAGATATTTTACCCTGAAAACTGTTTCTATACCGTAAAAATAAGGTTCTTTTCATCTTAAGTGTTTTTTTATAATTCACACCTGTAGTATTTTATTCTCCTTCTTGGTGGCTGTAAAAAAGCACCAATTTAAAGCAACTGGAAGTGGGAGGTAGACAAACTAGAGTACAGCCTCCACACACTTAGCATTGCAAGACTCTTCAAATATACAATGAGAGAAATCCATATCCTCCCATACAAACTCAAAATAGTCAAGTTTTGGAAGTTTTATGCACAGATTCATTAAAAACATACTATAGATGTCATGTTCATTAAATATATTTCAGTTTTATTGTTCTGTACAGAGCCCCTAAGGTGACTTGGTGATTATTTTTAATAAGGCATGGCCACAAATTAATATATTGAGGCCATGAGTTAAGTTTCTAATGGTCACATAGCCTCAATTATAAACCCCTTACCAAGCCATGGACCCGTCGGCGAGCCCAAAGTTTTATTACACACTTCTACAACCTAAGAAAAGCTCCATTAGTTTGCATTGAAGTCACTGTAGTTACTGAATAACAAGCCGTAGTATGTAATAAGCCTGGAATGTTAAGGAGTAAATTTGTGGCCACGTCTCATGAACAGTAATCACCATGCCATCTTAGGGGCTCCGTAGTTCTGATATTTCGTCTTCTTCTTTGTGATCAAAACTATATTGGCCACATTTCACACGGTTTCTTTTCACTAATCAGATTTATTTATTTTTATGTATTTAGGTTAGAAAACTCATCTCATTTAAATAATATAGAATGTTCATGTTGAATTAATTGTGTCTTGCATCAGTTTACCAGACCTTTCAGTGGCTGTTACAGCTATAGCTGCCCTGTCTGTTACAATTAGCCCCAGGATTAGCTGTAAAATTTGTACTGCTGACACTTTCGGCTGTACAACAGTAGTTGCTGGAGGCAACATCTGTGCTTGTGGCAGATATGTGTATAAAACGTTTTAACTTTCTGAACTGACAAACACTTTTGAAATTGTTTAGCAAAAACCAAAATGTGCTGGTTTGTGCCCCGCTCTCTTCTGCAACTTCTCTCCCACTGATTGTTATTTCTGTGTGCGTGTGGGTGTGTGGGCTTGCTTGGTGGACACGCATCACTTCAGAGCAGAGAAACAGATGGCACTGAGGGTTCAACAGCAGCTCCGGCCTATTCCAATTATCACACAGGAGAGCCAGAGACAGATATCAGAAAATCAATCCTATAGAGCTACAGAGAGAAGCAGTGAAAGTGAGGAATGGAGAGTGAGAAGAGTGAGAGCTGAAAGCCGTGTGTGCTTGTGAGTTCTCCGAGAAGAACATGCAGGCTGAGTAAAGGCCTGTAGGAATATGAGAGGTGTGGATTTAAACACAAGTTGAGCTGCGGGGCCTCCCAGAGAGGAGCTCATCACACCCCACCATCACCTCACACCAGCCCATTACATCCAGCTACACCTCACATCACTGCCCATCACACATTACTGCAGCTCACACTTCAGAGAGGACGCCAGTAGCACATCCTCACAACCCCACATTAGCACACATTCCGGACACATTAGCCAGCAATTTAGATCTGGTGCTCGTCCCCAGACTCCGCCCACACAGGAAATACTACCAACCGCTCTTTAACAGGCAGAGGCTCTTCATACACACGCGTTAGCCTTTAGCTTTAGCATGATCATCAGCAAGCTAGGCTAAAAGGTAGAGATAATGTTAGATCTTGTCTCCTAACAGTACATTCTCTGTTTGTGTGTGTTTGTGAGAGTGTGTGTGTGGTCTGCTGCTCTACTGGCTGACACACAGGATGTAGAGAGATTGTGAGAGTGGCAGAGCTGTGAGTTTAGTCACCAGTCAAGCTGTAGCACCTCCCAGGTGATAAGGTCATCACGTAGCATCACTTCACACCAGGAGTTGCACACTACTGTATCTCACACCCTACAGCAGAGGCCAGCAGCATATCTCCACACTGCCATATGATGCTAATTTACAAGGACAAAATTTGCCACCCATCCAACAGCCCCTCACCTAACTACATAAGAACCAATCATCTATATCACACTTCATTTTGGAATGTAGAGTGGGGTCCTAAAGTCTGAGAAGTCTTAGAAATCTGGAGTTTTATTTTCATTTTAACCTGGAAATAAACATGAGAAAGGTTTTTTTGAAAAAGTACAAATGTTATGACAAATAGAAGAAATATTCAAGCACTATTTTTAGGTCGCTATTCAAATTTAAGCAAATTTATGACTTTGACCATTAAGGCCTTCTTACATAGAGGTCAGCTTTTTTTAAAGTCTCATCTCTCCTATAAAAAGCCTGTGTTCAGATGATGCTTAGGTGGATTTGGTCTAGTGATCAGAGTCTTGTGCACAAACTTGTGGAGTCTCACGTGCATGCTGTCAGTAAAGCTAAAGGGGGAAATAAGAGCTAAGAAATTCTGAAATTCATGTAAATATTCTCCTTTTGTAAATGTGAAGATTCTACCTTTCATGCAAATTGTTACGCTGATAACATCATTTGAAGGGTTTCGCACCAGATCACATTGTAGAACACAATTTTCTCCTTTTTTTCATGATATACACTGGTGGGACTGGACTTTACAGATACAAGAAATATTAATGCTATATAATGATTAGTACCACCTACATTAGAGAAGAAAGTATGTGATTATTTTGTAAAACTTACATATGTATATCAAAATTTCTCACATGTAGATATATACAGCTTTTTGGAATAAACTCTTCATTTGTATTAAAAACTTTGTATTAAATTAGAAAAGAATGCAAAATAGCAACATTTTCAATACAGTTATAGACTTTTAAACCCCACTGTACACTGTTGCTGTCATTTTCTTATTTCCAAAATAATAACTTTACAGGAGAAGAGCAGCACACTCCTAACTGGTAATGTTACTAGCAAAATTTGCAAATGTAAATGTAAAACTTGTAAATGCATACCTTATAAATAGTAATAAGTAATTTTGGAATATTTCTGTTGATCCAATCATCATTTCATGTTTACACAATGTAAAGAGCAACTACAGTTTTGAACTGACACGAAATAAATAAATAAATAACAGAGATATGACAGTGATGCTTTGTGATTTTCAACATTGAAAGGACCAATTGGTGTAACACTGCATGAGGCCAATCATCAATTTGCCTGTTATCAAAGTTCATAACCAAACAGTAAATGTGGGCTAGTCAGGCTCACTGACAATAAAACTGGTTCAGGGAAGTGGCCTGATTTTAACACACCTGCGTTCAATATTGAGAGTCTCCTCTGTGTTTTAATGAGCTGAGGCAGGTGTGCCTGTGGTGGAATGAGAAACAAACATTCACTTTTGCTGTTACTCCAGGAGAGAGAATTGCTTACCTCTACAGTAAAAGGATGAAAGCAGAGCCTTCCAACCAGGACAAATAAGAAAGCATGTTTTTTTGGATTCTTATTGGTGGAAAAATAAACTAGCTTTGGTGTCAGCAACTGTTCAGTTTAGAAAATGCACAAAAAATCCAAGTAGAAACAGTTTCTATACATTCTGCACCAATCCACATGTTTTGATTTTGCCCAGATGTGGTGGAGGTCTACTTTGTTGAACTGTTTTAAGAATTACATTTCTTTATAACTTTTGCCTCTATGTTTTTCTTTTCCTCTTTTGTCAAACAATCTAAAACAATGCAATGGCCTTTTGATTCAATCATAGTCTTGCCGCACAATGATTTTCTTAAAGATGAAAAAGTAGATGAGGTTTTGTCTTGTATAGTAATGAGCCATATTAACCACATCAGCTTTGATTGCCACATTAGTCAGCATTCTGGCTCCCATACAGGTGTGGTGTGTTAACCAGATCACTCTTTTCAAGCTCACAGTTGTTCGTCATTAAGAAGATTAAGCAGTGATTAAGAAGATTAATGCTCTCTCATATGGTCTAGGGTTAGGGTTAGACCACAGCGCCATACTTGTCTACAGATCTGTGAGCCAGAGACAGAAAACTTCATTTCGAAACATTCAGAAAAGTAAAAATTCATCAATATTGTTCTTAAAGGGGAATTCCGCTGATTTTTCTGAATTTCTGCATAATACAGTGGTTGAGATGTAAACAGACATTCAGAGTGGTTTGATGTGAAATGGTTCATTGTAGAGAAACTTTCAGACTCTTTACAGTGGTGGTGATATGAACCAGAGGTTGTGATGTCTACAATACAAAT